TTTCTTGTGTTGACTTGGACTGAGACGATGGGACAGACTGTGACTACCCCCCTTTCCTTGTTAACAGGTCGTTTCGGGAAAGTTAAAAAGCGAGCGCATAATTTGAGTTTAAAAGTTAAAAAGGGAAAGTTAATCACCCTTTGCAGATTAGAATGGCCAACTTTTAAGGTAAACTGGCCACCAGAGGGTACATTTGACCTAGAAACAGTCAAAAGAGTTAAAAAAATTGTTTTTCGTCCCCGAACGGGACACCTGGACCAGGAACCATACATCGTTACCTGGGAAGACCTGGTGCAGAACCCTCCCTCTTAGATCAAGCCCTTTTTGCCTCCACAGAAGCAGCCGCCTGCGGCAGTCCTAGCGGTGTGCAAAAAAACCACCAGAGGAGACTGGCGGAGAGGAGAAACCAAAACAAAACCCACGGCGCCGCTTTACCCAGTTCTCCAAGGAGGAACTGAAGAAGATCTCCTTTTCCCCCCCTCCCCACCACCCGCACCCCACTCCTCCACTCCCTCTGCCCCCAACGGGGGTGGAGGGAAGAGCGCGGGCAGGGTTGGAGGGAGGAGCCCCGGCGGAGGCCGGGGAGAAAATACATGGCCGGGCGGACATTGCTAGAGGAGATGGCCCCGCCCAAAACACCCGCAACCGCACGCAGCCTCGCCGGTGGCGGGGCCAGCAGATTCCACTGTCTTCCCGTTGAGGGCGACTAGACCCCCTGATGAACATGGCAATCAGCCTCTCCAGTATTGGCCCTTTGCCACTAGTGACCTTTATAATTGGCGCACACAACACGCCAAGTTTTCTGACAATCCCAGGGATCTAATCCAACTGTTGGAGACTGTTTTGTTCACCCACCAGCCCACCTGGGATGACTGTCAGCAGCTCTTCCAGATCCTGTTCACAATGGAACAGCGTGAAAGGATTCAGAACGAGGCCGGAAAATTGGTTCCTGGTGACAGTGGTCAACCCACCCTCAATGTTGACACTATCAACACTTCTTTTCCTTTGTCCCGGCCCAACTGGGACTTCAACATGGCAGAAGGTAAGGAGAGACTCCAGGTCTATCACCAGATTCTGTTGAGAGGTCTAAAAGCAGCAGCTCGTAAGCCCACTAATTTGGCCAAAATAAGAGATGTTCAACAGGGTAAAGATAAAAGTCTGGCGGCTTTTTAAAAAAAAATCCTAGAGGCCTTCCGTAGATATACTCCCATGGATCCAGAGGCCGCCGAGACTAAGGTGGCTGTTATTATCCATTTTGTCAACCAGGCAGTGCCAGATATTAGGAGAAAGTTACAGAAAGTAGACAGGTTAGGAAAAAAGAATATTCAGGACTTAGTGGCAGTGGCAGAAAGAGTATATAACAATAGGGAGACTGCGGAAGAAAGACAAAGGCTAGCGATCAGCAAACTAAGAACCTAGCTTAGATCCTTCTTGCCACCACTGCGGGAGAGCCAAAAGAACGTAAACGTCGTCTGAAAAAGATTGTGACAGAAGGACAAGGTAAGGGGGAACACAGAAATCACCCCCAATTAAAAAAAAATCAGTGTGCTTATTGTAAAGAGAAAGGCCATTGGGCCAGAAAATGCCCTAAAAAGCCAGAAAGCCGTCCCAAGGCCCCCATCTTGGCTATGGATGAACTGAGTCGCTAGAGGGGACGGGGTTCAGCAGCCCTCCCCGAGCCCAGGGTAACCCTAAAAGTGGAGGGGAGACCTATCGAGTTCCTAGTAGATACAGGAGCTCAACATTTGGTTCTACTTGAACCTCATGGCCCTGTCTCTGACAAAACTTCCTGGGTACAAGGAGCCACAGGTATGAAAAAATATTCATGGACTACCCAAAGAACGGTAGACTTGGGAGTGGGCCAGGTAACCCACTCGTTCATGATCATTCCCGATTGTCCGTATCCATTACTCGAGAGAGATTTGCTCACTAAGTTGAGAGCC